TGCTCACCTCTGCCTCTCAAATGTGGGATTAAAGTCATGTGCCAGGGGCTATATAACAGTGGTTTTCAACCTTCCTAATGCCATAACCCTATAATATAGTTCCTCATGTTGCGGTGATCTCAACCATAAAATTACTTTCTTTATAATAGTACAACACAATTGTACATATTTTGCTACTGTTATGAATCCTAATGTAAATATCTGATATGCAGGATATCTCTGATATGCGACCCCTGTGAAAGGGTCTTTTGACCTCCCAAAAGGGGTCTTAACCCACAGGTTGAGAACCCTTGATCTAGAGAGATGGCTCAGTGGTTAAGAGCACTCACTGTCTGTTCTTCCAGAGGACCTGGGTTTGATTTCCAGCACCCACTTGGCAGCTCACAACTGGCTGTAATTCCAGTTCCAGGGATCCAGTATTGTTCTCTGACCTCCATGGATACCAGGCACTCAGATATTACACATACACACATGCAGGCAAAACATGAACACATGAAATAAATGTAAAAATTTTACAAAAGTGAGACACTACACTCAGCTTCTGGCCTTTTTAAATCTATAAGTTCTGAGACACAAACTCGGGTCCACATGTTTGTAAGTTGAATAAGATGAATACCATACTGACCAAAGCACCTCCCAGCCCTCGTTCTCCTCCCTCTCCATCCTCCCCATCCTCTCCCCTCACCTCCTTTCCCTCGTTTCACCTCTCTTTGCTACCACTGCATTGGCTGGCAAGATGTTATTTCAGCTGGCCTGTGATTCGCTCTCTTGCTATCTCTCTGGATGTGGTGGTTTGAAAGAAAATGGCCTTCAAAGGGAGTGGCCCTGTTGGAGTAAGTGTGGCTTTGTTGGACAAAGGTGTCAGGGGGGAGCCTTTGAGGTCTCATTTCTCAAACTTCATCAGTGTGACAGTCAGTCAACTTCCTGCTGCCTTCTGGTCAAGATGTAGCCAGCATCATGTCTGCCTGCATGTTGCTACTGTGCTCCCTGTCATGATGATAATGGACTGAACCTCTGAAACTGTAAGCCTCCACCTCAATTAAATGTTTTCTTTGTAAGAGTTGCTGTGGTCATAGTGTTGTCTTCACAGCAATAAAAACCTTAACTAGACACTGGGTGAACAGGGGGAACAGCTTAGACAGGGGGAGCCTCAGCCCCTGGCTCTTGATTCAGTCTGAGAGCCTCTCCTGCTTTCTCTCCAGGCTCAGGGCCGTCCCTGGTGTTCAGAGCATGGTGGGTGTGAGCACAGAAGGCGACACTGAGCTTCTGAGTGTGTGAGCCCCACATGCTCTCCTTAGGGGAAGGACATGTGACATCTGGACTGCTGTGCATACTCAGACCAGGTGTCAGAAGCTGACAGAGCTAATGAGAAGGCTTGCCGTATCCTGAAGCGGTGTGGGACGTTTCTGGTGGTTGCTGCTCAGGAAGGGGTGCTCCTGGCCAGAGTACCCCTGAATCTGAGTTCCCTCCCAGCACAGTGCTGCCCACCTCACTGGCTTTTGTTTTTGTTCTTTGGTTGGGTTTTTCATGACAGGGTTTCTCTAGAACTTGCTCTGTAAACCAGGCTAGCCTCAGAGATCCGCCTGCCTCTGCCTTTCAAGTGTTGCTATTAAAGGTGTGCGCCACCATGCCCACCTTCACCTCACTACTGATAGTGCACATGAGAGTCTTGTTTTGCATCAGAAGCTAGGGCAGCTGCTGCTACGTAGACTTGAACAAAGGTGGGGAAATTCACACATCAGTCCAATGTGGGTAGTGCAGTGTGGGGTACACCTTCGGGGTGATGGGATACAGGTGGGGGCTGGCCATTGTGCTGCTTGCCCATGCCTGGCACCCATTGGCCAAGGTGGCATTTCAGAGCCAGCTTGGGGCACTGCATGACCCTGTCTGCAGTCAAACAGAAACACAGTCAATTGTTTGCACAGATAAGCTGCCAATGTCCATGACTCAGGCTTTTCCGTTACAGGTCTGAGTCAGCCAGGATCCAAGACACAGATTTTTATGAATGGCGCCTGCTCGCCATCTTTGTTGCCAGCCCTGCCTTCCCCGATGGCCTTCTCTCTGCCGGTGGTTCCTGACTACAGGTGAGGACGACTGAGGCACCCACTGTCCGCTCACTGTGGCTCTATTGTTCTCAGTGTCCAAGACAAGTGGTCGTGTGGGGTGATTGCCTGTTTCGTGTAGGTAGAATCATGTTGTCACTCCATTTAAAGGAGATCATGAAAGTGTGTGAAATCTGCACGTGTGTGCACACGTGAGTAGTGTAGAGAACTCTTTCCTGGGATTCTAGCTAGGCGGCTGGTGCAGACTTCAGTGTTCACTGTAACACACTCAGTGTTCAGGCATAGAGCTGTGTTTAGCAGTGTGCGTGTGGACCATTGCACTCACCTCCTATAGTGTGACACATGCAAGGCCTGGTTCTGCAACCAACAACTGGCATTTTTCCACCCTTCAGCTCCTCCACATACCTGTTCCGCTTGATGGCAGTTGTCGTCCACCATGGAGACATGCACTCCGGACACTTTGTCACTTACAGACGGTCACCACCTTCAGCCAAGAACCCTCTCTCAACCAGCAACCAGTGGCTGTGGATTTCTGATGACACTGTCCGCAAGGCCAGCCTGCAGGAGGTCCTGTCTTCCAGCGCCTACCTGCTGTTCTATGAGCGAGTTCTGTCCAGGGCGCAGCAGCAGGGGCGGGAGTACAGGGCTGAGGAGTGACAGGCCAGCCCAGAGCCAGGCCCATGGCGAGGGCCACATCCGGGTTAAAAGAAGGCATGCCACGTGTCCACGTGCGAGCCAGCCCCTCTAGAGCCCCTCAGCCTTCTGTGTATTCTGAGAGCAGACTCCACACAGGAACCAGTCCTCGCAGCGCTGCCAGGGTGTACCAGAACGTGTCCTCATGAGGAAGCATCATTGTGTCTAGAGCATCTTACTCATCTGACACAGGTCATTAAAGAAGCCAGCTCCAGGAGCCACCCTTCCTATACTGTAATATGCTAGGTGTTCTCAGAGGGCATTGCCTTTGTTTGATCCCCTGACATTTCAGCATACATCTTTATTTTTAATAAGGAGGCCCGTAAATATTATTGGCAAGACTTAGTGACATTATTAAAGGCAACAATTCAGAAGAACAAGTGCCTTTCCCTTCTGGTTGTTCTGAGAACAGGCATGACCTGAGATTCACAGGCACAATGTTGGGAAAGCCCTCATCCTTCCAAGTTCCTTGGAGGTCAAAAGAACAGCATGGTGGCTCACGCCTGTAGTCCCAGCACTCATGCTGGGGCAGGAGGATCACTGCAAGTTCCTGGGCAGCCTGAGCTACATAATAAAACCTTGTCTCCTCCCCAAAAGCCTCAAGAACACCTCCCCACCTTTGGGTATGCCTTTTGTAATCTTCATTTCTTTATATGTTGTCAAGCCACTTGCCAGTCCACCCTGGGTGAGAGGTGGGCCTAAGCCTTCCCACAGCTGTGGGTGTCTACACCGTCTGCTCATCGCCTCTGTGGAAGATGGCTAGCTTCCTGTTATTAGTTGCTTATAATAGGGTTCACAGGCAAGAGCCTGGGCAGGGTGACCTGAGAGCTGAGCTGGGAATAGTGCACTGGCCCAGGGCCGCAGTCTCTCTGAACCTTGCTTTTTCAGTAAGGGCCCACAGTGAGGAGTAAAGCAGTGTGGTGTTTGAACAGAACTGCCGTTACATTCTAGGACCATATTCTAAGTGTGTGTATCTTCAGTGACCTTGTTAAGCAAAGGGCACTCTGGGCATTTTCTTCCGTTTTCAGATAAGTTTCATGAATAGCCCAGGATGGAGGAATCTTGATGTCACAGTAGTAATTATGTGTTAGCTAAGTTAGTAATTTTTTTTAAAAAAAAAATGATACCAAACCAAATTCAGACTGACTCTTCCGATGTAAGATTTGGAACCAGACCTTTCCAAAGGTAACTGAGGTAAGGCCAAGGCTGTGTTTTCTCTGCAGGGGTAAGCTGCAGACATTCCAGATGTGCCTAGGCATCGGCTTTGAGATCAGCTCTCACTGTGCAGACTCCGAGACTGTGCTGTGCTGGCCTCCAGCCACAGTTCCCACAGGAGTGGCTGAACCATTTGTTCTGGCCCAGGCGGCCCTGTGGACAAGTGCTCAGTCACTTGGGTCACTTGTGATCTTAGAGCTCCAATTGTCATCCTGCCCCTCATTCTGAGGTCAGCTAGGGAAGAGAGACGACAAAAAGGACATCCGTGGGACGCTGGTCACAGCCCAGGGTTTGAGCCAAGGCTGTAGACGTGTTAACCTGGCCAAATGCTAATGTACTTCCTCATTTTGTAAATTATTAGACATTAGGTAGCAACCAAGGATGATTTCTAGTTTTAAGTTATACACAGTAGGTAGCTTCTTCCTGGATAAACCTACGTTAAGCTAGTATTTAGACTGTAGGCCGCTGAGTGTGGATCTGCTAAAGGCACTTTTGTATCTGCTGTGTACTAAGCAATAAAGATGGTTTGTTAGGAAACACTCGAGTGGTGGGCTTTAGTCTTTTTAAATGGGTTATGTACAACAGGCTGCCCGTAAACTTTCAAAGGTCTGCCTAGGCCTCTGCCTTCCGAGTGCTGGCATTAAATATGTGCTGTCACGCCAGACCTGAGTGGTATTCTTTTATTGCAGATGTGACGTAGCATCCTCCTCCTGAACTGGGTGCTGTGTACTGGGCCCTGTGTTCTCTCTGGGTCATGAGAATAAATCCTCTCTTCAAGCAAAAAGAGAAAATACAAGGTATTGATTATTAGAAATAGATTTTAGGGGCTGGACAGATGTCTTAGCAGGTAGGAGCACTTGCTGCCCTTCCAGACTTAAGTTCAATACTGAGGCTGCAGGATCTGAGTTTGGTTCCCAGCACTGTGTCATGCAGCTCACAACCACCTGTGACTCCAGCACCAGGTGATCGTACACCTCCTTCTGGCATCCTGGCACCTGCACACATGCGGCACACACACACAAATAAAAATAATAAATAAAAAATGTTTTATTTCTTAGTAGGTAAAATTTTCCGAAAAGTCAAGTTGACCCGAGGAGCCAGGACCTTCTTGCGGATGGGGAGACTGTGGTACCAGTGGGTATTGGTGGGGTGGTTCATCATCAGCAGGCTTCCATGGGCCAGCTGCAGCCTGACCGCCTCCACTGTCTGCCGGGGTCTCTTCCCTCGAGAGTCTTTGTGCCGGAAGAGGAAGTCTCTGCAAGCCCCAAAGGAGACAGATGCAATAGGACTCCCAGGAGCCAGTTCTCTTTCATCATCCCTGTGTTCCCCAATGTGGTCGCAACCATCTTTGTACCTGTAGTGGGAAAACAACCACAGTGCTGAAAAAAAACCTCTCCATCACCTGCCGATGCTGCAGGTGCCTCATCCTAGCCGGAAACAGCCTGCTGTTTCTGTACACCCCTAGCCTGCGAGGCCAGAGAGCCAAGTAAGGTGTTTGCATGAGAAAGGCCTCCAGTTGGTGGAACTTTAGAGCCAGTCAGGAGTAGGTGTGTCATTGTAGTTGGGCTTTGAAGTTTCAAAAGCTCACACCAAGCCCAGTGTCTGTCTCTGCCTGCGGCCTGCAGGTGAGAATGTGAAGCTCTCAGCTCCTACTCTAGGCTGTGCTGGTCTGCTTCCCACCAAAATGACCGTGGACTAACACTCTAAGACAGAAAGCAAGCCTCGGCGAAATGTTTTCTTTTCTAAGAGTTGCTTTGGTTATGGTGTCTCCTCACAGCAGAAGAACACTGACTAGGACACTTATCTACATCTTGTAGTGTTTGCAGACCTCACACATCAGATCAAATAGCCACGCCTTCCAGTCGCCAGGTTCGTGTCGGAAAAACCTGCCCTACTCCGCCTGTATACACACCAACCATCACCCTGTGCAGTCGGCCCTGCCCTTTATACTCTTTTTCTCCCTGGTTCCTGAGTTCCACTCCATGGACACCGTGGATTCCTCTGTTCTACTCCAAATGTTGGTATCACCAGCTCTCTAGCTCATTCCATGTCAAATGTCACTGCCTTGAGGGGCCCTCCCTCTAACCACCTCATGCCAGATAACTTCCCCTTGAGCCCAGGCCGGGAGCCTGGCCGTTCTGTTCTCAGAACACACTATTGGTTGCTGCGGTGGAAGCAGGCGTTCGGGCACTTTCAGGGTGGAGGCTAGGGATGTGCTGACTTCACCAGCAACCTCACCTAACCCCTCCCTCCTGTCCTGGAAAGTCCTTAGCCCTCACTAGTACAGAAGGGTTGTCCCTAATAAACAAAGCATGTGGAGTCCTTAACCCTTCCCTGGGTAGCAAATGTTACCTGTTAATGAGCACAAAGTTGAAGGTCTGCCCTGTCACCCCGAAGATCCGATCTCGAACACGCTCTAGAACTGGAATCCAGGGCTTCGGTGTCAGTGTAAGACCAGAAAAGGTGTATGTCAGCCCAGCGTCTCCATAGGTTGCCTGCTTCCTGGGAACGCTGTGCCATTTTCCAAACACTTGGACCTGGGCCAGTGCACCTGGGCAGATGAAATGGCAGCTCTGACCCTCAAGGGATATAGGCAGATATCCTGTGCATCTTCTGGGTACTCAAAGGGGAGGGAACTAGAAATGATATTTCCTCTGCTCGTCATGTTATAGAATGCCCTTGTGGGGGTCTCTTCCCCGAAGGCACTGTGGCCTACTCTCATTTTCATGAAGGGGTATGGTGGCACACCCCTGTAATCTCATCACTCTGGCGCTGATGGAGGCAGAGCACAAGTTCCAGGCAAGTGTGTCTCAAAAAAAACCCAAAGGGTTGGAGAGGTGGCGCAGCTGGTAAAGTGCCTGTCACAAGGTGTGGCTGCATGTGCCTCAAATCCCACTGCTGGGGGTTCACCGGCCAGCTGGTCTAGCTGGAACTGCAAGAAAAATGAGGGGGTGCCTAGCTGGGCATTATACAACACAGGGGGCAGTGGGAATGCAGGGCTCTGACTTTGTCGTGTGCACACACTAGCATTAAAATCAGTGGGGTGCAAAACCAAAGAAATAAAAGCACAACAGAGGCTTAGGATGGACAATTCTGCAGGAGTAGGGGGTCAGAGAATGAGTAGTGTGTGAAAATAACCAAAATGTATCATACACATACATGAAATTGTTGAAGAACTAAAAAATAAAAAAAAATCACAGATGACTTGGTCTATAAGCAGCTGAGGCCATCTTTCTCCTCTCTCTTTTTTTTTAAAATAAACTGTGCTGCACACCTTTAATCCCAGCACTCGGCAGAGAGGCAGATGGATCTCTGAGTTCAAGGCCATCCCGGTCTACAGAGTGAGTTTCTGCACAGCCAGGGCTACACAGTGAGTTCCTGTCTCAGAAAAACAAAACAAAAGACTTTTATGTTTGCCCGCATATCTGTACAACCTGTATGTGTCTGGTCCCTCGAAGGCTGGAAGAGGGTATCAGAGTGCCTAGGACTGGAGTTACAGAGGGCTGTGAGCTGCCATGTGGGTGCCGGGAATCAAACCTGGGTCCTCTGGGAGGACAGCTACTGATCTTAACTTCTGGGTCATCTTTCAACTCCTCATATATTTATTTATGGCCTTTAAAGACAGGGTCTCATGCATCCCAGGCTAGCTTTGAACTCTCCAGTTAGCTGAGGATGACCTTGAACTCTGGATCCTCCTACCTCCACCTCCCAAGTTCTGAAGTTACAGGTATGCATCAGCATATCATGGCTTCAGGTTTTAAAACTCATTCATTGTCTTAACTAAAGTCAGAACATAGACAGCTCTGAACATAATGAAGTTGAGTCTGGATGGATGGTTTTGTCAGCTGTGTGCTCATTACAGCGTCTCAATATGTGGTCTCCAGGCAACAGCATCAGCACCACCTTCAAACTCTTCAGACACTGAACTGCAAGGGTCAGGAAGCCAGCAGAGTTCTGAGGGCGGCAGGCGTCCGGCTAAACTATACAGCCATCCATAAGAAACTACCTGGCTATCTGCAGTCTCGCCTACTAGACAAGCACAACTTGGCTGCACATGAGTGTTCGTTTGACCACGCTGGGGTCTAACCTAGGGTTCTGTGAATAGAGAAGCGCTCTACCATTGGCTTGGAAGACTGATAAAAAACGCTGATGCCCAGGCTGCACCTCCCGCTATTCTGATTCAGTATCACAAAGAACCCAGAAAGTTTTGGAGTTCATTTTTTTTTTTTTTTTAACTTTCCAGGCAATTCCAAGCAGTAGCCAGGTAATTTCGCTCTAGACCCTGTCACAGCCTGAGTTCACGCTTCTCCTAACAGAGGCACATTCTTTCATCACCTAAGCCTAACAGCTAAAGCCCTCCGCTTACCGGTAAAATACTCCACTTCTTGCTCCAACTCTCGGAAGATCTCGTCTGCCTCGGCTTTGCCAAACAGGATGGTGTAATCACAATTCAGACCTTGAGCACGAAGGTGCCGCCAGTTGGAGCTCGACTGGCCGCCCGAGGCTCCTCCCGATGGGACTGGCTCCTCCCTTCCCTCTTTGCGGTCGCCCGGGTCGGGCCTCACCAGGAACCTATCCATCCCGCCGCCCCTGCACAGCCGTGGAGGTGAGTGGCCAGGCGAGGGGAGCCCCAGGCTCAGTGCTCCACCCGCGTGCCACAGACACGTCTACAAAGGAAACAGGGCATTAAAACTAGGATCTGCCTGGTGGTCCCTAACCAGGTGGTGAGTTTGCAAACCCCTCAGGCCTGCTCTCTTGTTTACGTCTCGTAGCACAAGCTAACCTAAACCTAAAATCCACCTGCCTCCGTTGCCAACAACTGGGATCTCAGGCAAGCAGTCACAGGCCCCGCCCCCTTCGGAATTCGCTAGCTCCGGCAGCAAACGCTACACGTGGGAAGACAAAAGAGCAGAGGTGCAGAGCACGGGGTTTGCCCGGAGTCACCCAGAGAAGCAGTGTGTCTCTACCCTGCACCCAGGGTGAGAGACTTACACAGGAGAGTAGCTCCGCCGGAGAGACCCAGGGTATGAGGCCCTATGCGAGGGCTCTGCACGGACAAACGGAGCTCCGCAACTCCAGACGCCCACATCCGCCTTTCCAGGCTGTGCGGGATTTCCGGCACAGCGCCACCTATCGGCCCCTCTGCGCACCGCAGGATGCTGCTTTTCCAGATGGTTCTGCAATGTTGAGGCCTGTCGACTGGTTCTGGGGTCACTTTTGGGGGATCCAAGAGCCTAGTGTCGTACAGGATACTGTCTCATTGGTGTGTGGGGGGTAACTAAGTATAAACCTGCACATCTGACGAAGTCACAGCATTGTCTCACTACGACAGTCAAGATGGGGAGCAATTACACCATTTCATAAAATCCTCCTCAGGCACCAACTTAATGGTCTTGTCTATATAACCCCTACCTACTCTGTCTGCTGTTCCTGGTTGCTTTTCCCAGGCTTCCAAATAAATGGAATTATATGCTGTTACGGTCTTTTCTATTTGACTTCTTTTTGTAAACTTTTAGATAGAACTATGTTGCTTTTTGTCTCTAGCATTAAGTACGAACATTATGTGTATATATTATATACAAACATAAGTGCCGTTTGTACCAGTGTCTCCCTTTCATTGCTGGGTTAGTGTTCTGGTGTATGGAGAAAGCACAATATAAAGACAGTGTGGCAGTCATTTCTGGCTCTAGGTGACACAGCAAAATCCCTCTTCAGGCTCAGACTTATTCTGTGATTTTACTTCACTTGAGAAAACATCCAGGAGGGTGGTTATGGGGTCGCGCGGCCGGAGGAAAAGTGTATCTATCATCTGCAGCTTGTTGGAGCACATGCGCTCCGTGATGGCGGCTCACTACCTAAAAAGCACTTCCTGTCCCTAAAAGTACTTCCTGTCCTGAACTCTGGCACCCTCCAGCAAAACCCAGGTCCTGTCTCACGCACACCGTATTTTGGAGATGGAAACAGGAAAAGGGCAATGTAAGAAATAAGATTACTTTGTACAGTACGGAAGTGAGCAGGGTGACAGGCTGGGGGGTTGGGCAGAACACCTCACGGGGAGGGTCCTAAGCCGGGACTGAAGCTTTGCTTTCGAGAACAAAGTGCATCGGGTGTGAAGATCTCAGAGGGACGGCTGGGGAACTGCTAGGGTGTCGGGAGTTAAGATTTTGAAGCTGTAGGCCAGGCTGGCCTCTAACAAACCAAGATAGGCATTGAGATTCTGATCCTCCTACCTCCGCCTCCCAAATGCTGGGGTTACTAGGTGTACAGCCACTCAGCGGCATAGGAGGGTTTTTCCTGGGCAGTAGTCAAGGTTTAATCTACACCTCAAAAGATGACTCAGTAGAAATGAACAGCTGGGATCGTTCAAGTCTAGATTTGGGGATAACTGAAAGATGTTTATGGTCTGAATGTGGGGAACTAAGTGCATGAGATAGACAGAGCCAAGGGGGTGTGTAGCTCGGTGGTCAAGTGGCTGCTCAGCATGCACGAAGGCCCAGAGTTCAAACCCAAGACTGAAAGGGAGGAAGGAAGGGAGATGTACCGGGTACGGAGGAACAAATCTAATCTTCACCGTGAGCAGCAACAACAGTGAGACCTGAGAGACCTGTGCGCGGAGGAGGATGGGCTTCGCAAGCCCCACCTCGCCAGGGGCGGTGCCGCAGCCCCTCCCACACATGCGCGTTGGGCCCCACCGCCCCAGTCCTGCCAGCTTCCCCGCCCCCGACTCGAACTGGCGCCGTCGACGGAGCGCCAACCGTGAACACTGCTCCAAGTGTCCCGGAGCTCGGTCCCCGGTGCAGGCATGATCGGCCAGAAAACCCTCTACTCCTTCTTCTCCCCGACCCCCACCGGAAAGCGGAGCACGCGCAGCCCCGAGCCCACCCCAAAGGGAGACGTGGCTGCCGAGGACAGCGGCGATGCGGTGAGGCGTGCGGGGCAGTGTGGGGCTGGGTGTGGAGCTGCGTGGGGTACCGGCCAGGAGCTCCGTGCACGCCGCTGCTCGGCTAGACCCGGCTGCCTTACGAGTTCAAAACAGCCGCGCGCGTCGGCGGCCGCCATGCCGAGACGCCAACCAATGGGGACAGGGCTCGGCCTCCGCCGAGCCAATTGGCGTGCAGCGTTCCCGCCCCTCCCTTCATGGGGTCCAATCACAGGCGGCAGGGGGCGGGAGCGGTTTTGCCGCGAAAAGGCCACGTGGGCCCTAGGCGCGTAGGCGGGCGGGGCGCGGCGGCGGCTCAGCCGGGGTCTGCTCGGCCCAGGTCGGATCAACCATGGGCATCTTCGGGCCGCGACCTTTGGGGTTGGCGCGGGGGCTGCGCGCGCCGAGGAGGGCAAGGGCGCGAAGTCTTACTTCCGATCCCGACTCCTGGCAGGCCAGCCCCGCCAAGAAGGCCCGGGTCGGGCAGGACGAGCCGGCCAAGCCGCCCTCGTCGCCGCTCAGCGAGGAGCAGCTTGTCCGCATCCAGAGGAACAAGGCCGCGGCCCTGCTCAGGCTCGCCGCTCGCAACGTGCCTGCCGGCTTCGGCGAGAGCTGGAAACAGCACCTGAGCGGAGAGTTCGGGAAGCCGTACTTCGTCAAGGTCGGTGGGCGCGCGGGTGCAGCCTGCGTTTGCGGGTGGCTGTCTTTCGGCCTCCTAGTATTTGGGTTAAAGCAAGGACTGGAAGGTGGTTTTCTGGCTTGGTATTCCTATGGGGAAGAGTACTGTGCAGGACAATTTGGGGAGTCTCCTTTTCACGTGCATCTGGGATTGAACTCCGGTTGGCGCGCTTGGCGCCAGCTGCCCTCGTGGCCTCATGTAAGCCACTTGGTTGGCGCGCCAGAAAACCCTGGCGTAGTAAACCCCCAACCAGACTGAGTGAAATTACCTTTGGCCTTTTTTTAAGTCAGGGAAAGAAGGTTTAAGGCCTCGGGCTATAATCTCAAATCGAAAGCTGTAGCCTGGAGGGTCAGAAGCTGCCACCGGGGTGCCCCAGACTCTGGCCTCCCAAAACCCGGTGTCGGGGGCGCCCCCCGGGCAGTGAAATGAAAGCAGCTTGGGGAATCAACCTTAATTCAGCCCAGGGTAAAAAAAAAAATTGAGTTTAAATCATACAAAGAACCAAACGAGACTTCAAACACGCTTTATAAAAAGGTTTTTAAACCTAATTTTTATAGCTTCCTGTGAGAACCTGCTTTTAAGTCTCGTTTATCTTTGAAATCAGCTAATGGGCTTTGTTGCTGAAGAGAGAAAACATCACAAGGTCTATCCACCTCCGGAGCAGGTGTTCACGTGGACCCAGATGTGTGACATCCGAGATGTAAGTGAGGCTGGGGTCTGGGTAGGACAGCCTCAGCCACAGGCAGTGATTTGGTACTAAATGACCCTGAAGTGTGAGGCTCGTTTGTGTGGCCGATGCAGAGCTGTGCTGAGCCATGGCACTCAACCTCTGGATGGATTCCAGCTGTTTGTTCTTTAACCATCGTCTATTTCCAAAACAACAGGAAAAATATATGTACACATTGCATGCTCACTTTTTTCTTTTAAATTCATTGTTATATGTGACCCCAAGGTTATTTCAGTCTCTTGATCATAGGCAGTGGGAACGGAGAAGTGAGGGTCTTTCCGTTTGTATTATGCGCGTTATGGGGGAAATGCGAAGAAGTTAACACCTACTCATAATCTCAGAACTTGGGGGTTGGAGGCCAGCCTGGGCTACTTGAGACCCTGACTCAACAAAATAAAAGGCAAAAGCAAGTGCTATTATATCTTATACCGAGGTAGGAAGGATAGCCTGGGGTACTTGTTTCAGGTAGCATGCCTGCATTTCTCTGAATGACCGTCCATTGGACAGCTCGTTCTCAGCCATCCTTCTGTTGGTGGCGTGGGTGACTGGAGTTTCCTGGTGGCTCCACTCTTCTTGTTTTCCTCAGCCAGCCTTTCTCAGACTGGTAAGGAGTAGAGCAAGTGAGCAGTTACTCATGAGTAAATATCCAAAAACCTTCACCTGAGTGTCCCCAGCCCTGCTCAGGTGCAGACCGCTGTCGAGTGTGGCCCCTGAAACCACAGTTTGCTTGAGCTGAACTGACTGCATTCCCTCCCGCTTAGAGGGTCTACCATTGGGAACTCTAGCATTGCCTTTCCTAGCCTTTGCTGCTGGCTGTGCTGAGGATTGAACCAGGATTTCACAAGGCTGTGCAACTGTACCCATTTCATTTTGACGGTGATCTGAGTTACCCAACCTGGCTTTGAACATACTCAGGCCGACCTTAAATTTCTGGTTTAGTTTTGTTTTTTCTGTTGTGTTTGATTCTTGCAGTGCTGGGGAGTCGAGCTCATGGTGTCAGTATTATGCCTTACCATTGAACCACAGCCTTATTGTTTTTTTTTTTAAGATTTATTTATTAGTTATGTACACAACATTCTGTTTGCATGTGTTTTCTGGTGCAGAAGAGGGCACCAGATCTTATGTGCTTGCTGGGAATTGAACTCAGAACCTCTGGAAGAACAGTCAGTGCTCTTAACCTCTGAGCCATCTCTCCAGACCCCCAGCCTTAAATTTTGATGCACAACCTCAGCCTCTCAGATAGCCGGAATTGTAGCCTGAGTGCTTGGTTCGTCTCAACATTTTGAAGGTGGATTCATTTCATTCCCTTGGACTGTCTAGTTCTCGAGAGCTTTGGTGTATGGCATTTAAAAAAAAAATACTTCTTGTTTTATGTGCATTGGTGTTTCCCTGCATGTATATCTGTGTAAGTGTCAGATCCCTGGAACTGGAGTTGTAGTCAGGTCTGAGCCGCCACATGGGTGCTGGGATAGAACCCAGGTCCTCTCTACAGCCCCTCCTTTCTCTTCCAGAGGGAAACTTAAGGGAGTCTTCTTCCCTCCTCCGTTAGGTTCTGGGATTGAACTCGGGACATTGGACTTGTAGTCAAGTAGCTTTACCTGCTGAAGCATTTCAGCCCCATATTTTTTTATTTTTGATGAATACATATTGATTGTATGTGCTTAACAGGTTTGGTGACATTGCACAGCTGTTACCCCAGACATTTATCTTTTCTTGTTTTCCTTTTTTCTAATAAAGACTTTAACATTTTTTTGTACATTTTTGTCTGAATGTGTATGTCTGCAGCACATGTATGCA